CCCGCCTCCCCCGGGCGCCCGGGAGGGCTGGAGGTGCGTGCACCCGCACAGTTGCGTCTGCGTTGCAAGTCGGTTTTCCTCGGGCCGCCTTTCTCTCACGGACGTTTTTTCTTTTTTTTCCCCCCTCTCCACCTCAGAGTGCCATTAAGGGGAAATTGCAAGAACTAGGAGCTTATGTGGGTAAGTTCTGTTGCTTTTGTTAGCCTAATGCAATTTAGAGTTTGCAGCTATTGGAGTTTTAGTGAGTGCATTTTCCCCAACGTACTTTTTTTGACTTTGAAGAAACCCCTTTTCTGCTATCAAATCTGACCATCCCTGGTTCCTTCTCTTCCTTACCGTTTTATTTTTAATGGAAAGATCTACATGCAACCTTGTGTGTGTGTGTGTTTTAACCCTCTTCTACTGTGGTGTTTTGAAATTGTTTAGCTTCCTCTGTGGAGGCATTGTCGTATTTTTATTGTTTTTCCTTTTTTTTTTTGTGCTTTCCTTGACCTCCATTTTTTTCACAATTATTTTGCATGTGGGATGTTTGATGCTTCCTGGCATTTGCCTCTGCCGTGGTTCAGTGAGTTTTATTTTCAGGTCTCTTATTATTTATTTTTATTTTTTTTGCTGTTCCTTTCGCTTTTACCTCCTACCAGCAATGTATCCTCTGTGTTCTTTTGTGATTTTTATAACTTGAGCATTTACTTTGGGCCGGGCACTGTGCTTAACTTAACCTCTGTGTGTGTGCGTTAGGCCATGGTAGTCCTCAGGGGGACACTGGAAGGTAAGTGGTAATATCCCCAACTGTACAGGCAAGGAAATTGAGGCTTGGAGTGCTTGCTTTTGAGCAAGATTACGACCTGGGTCTGTTTGGCTGCAAAGCTGGTGCCCCCTGTACAAATAATAGCTATCACTTAGGAAGGTGGCTCTCAAGGTGTGGAAGACTCCAAGGGTCTCTGAAGTCAAAATTGTTTTTATATTAATACTGACATTTGGATTGTGCAAAAGCAAAAGTGGGCAAAACTTCTGGTACTTGACCCTGAATCAAGAAATCAAGGTCTCACACCAAACGTTAGGGGAAACCTTCATATTTTTTACTTGCAATTCTCTACTTGCAATTTTTTAAAAAAGCCCTTTTGCCCTAGCCAGTTTGGCTCAATGGACTGAAGGGTCCCGGGTTCGAGTCCGGTCAAGGGCATGTACCTTGGTTGCGGGCACACCCCCAGTGGGGGGGTGTGCAGGAGGCAGCTGATCGATGTTTCTCTCTCATCGAAGTTTCTAACTCTCTATCCCTCTCCCTTCCTCTCTGTAAAAAGTCAATAAAATATATTTAAAAAAAAAAACCCTCTTTTCACTTAATGTAATTGATGAAGCAGTAAAAATATATTTTTAAAATCCTGGCCCTTGATTACATTATTTAATATGCAGTGAGGAAGAAGGAAATACTTATAAATATATGCTTAAAAGTACTGTACAAACGTACAAAGTATTTCTGGTGTACGCTGAAGCATGATGGGTTGTCTTAAAGGATTTGTATAATTGAGTTGAGAACTGAACTAGCCACCTTTTTCATGGAGCATCATTTTTAAGTTATAAGGACTGAGAAGCTAGTCACATACATGTGGGTAGTTGCCAAGACATTTCCTCGAAAGTGAGTAGAGGAAAAGAACTGATTTTGCTGCCAATGACAAAACAAAAGTTGGTTTGAGGGGGCGGGGCAGGGCATGCAGGAGGCAGTGGATTGATGTTCTCTTCATTGATGTTTTTATCTCTTTGTTCCTCTTGCTTTCTCTCTGAAAATCAGTACAAAATATTTTTTTAAAAAAGGCTAGGATGGATTAGTGGATTTACATGTACCAGTACAAAAAAAGGTTATTGATACAGTTTCTGTTTGCATATTGCTACTAACCCTTAAGAAACTATCACTTGTTGAATTTTGGTGTGGTATCACAAAATAGTATTCACATTATCTGCAAGGCTATTAAAATACTTGTTTTTCAAACTACACATGTGAAAGACCAAATTTTCTTCACATTCTTCAATTATAACAGCATATTACAACAGGTGAAATGCAGAAACAGAAATTAGAATCCAGCTGTCTTTTAAACCAGATGTTAAAGAGAGTAATAAAAATATAACTTATTTTGCCCTAACCGGTTTGGCTCAGTGGATAGAGTGTCGGCCTGTGGACTGAAACAGGTCCCAGGTTCGATTCCGGTCAAGGGCATGTACCTTGGTTGCAGGCACATCCCCAGTGGGGGGTGTGCAGGAGCTGATCGATGTTTCTCTCTCATCGATGCTTCTAACTCTCTATCCCTCTCCCTTCCTCTCTGTAAAAAATGAATAAAATATATTTAAAAAATATATAACTTATTTTATATTTTTGTACTAATTTTTTGTTTTGGAATTTTTAAAAATAAAAACATCTGTTTACTTAAGTGGATTTATTGTTAACAGTAGACAGGTCTACTTTAAATGAATTAATGCTGCTTAAAGTTTTAAATTTTAATTTCTAGTATAGTAAATATACTAGGTATACTCACATAAATGAAACTTCTTTTGGGGTCATCAGTAGTTTTTAAGAGTGTAAAGGGTGCCTGAGATCAGATAGTTAGAGGATTGCTAATTTACTACATGCTGGGCACATTTCATAAATTATCTGTTGTTGGGACTTTAACAGATAAGAAAATGAGGCTTAAAGGTTAAAGATGAAGCTGAACCAGGATTTATTTATTTTATTCATTCATCACTTGATGGATGCCAGTTATATGCCAGGAACATGTTTTGGGTTAAAAAGAAGTCCACAAAAAATGTATATTGATAACTTTTTTTAAAATTAATTTTATTGATTTTAGAGAGAGGAAGAAACATCGACCCATTGTTCGACCCATCTTCGCATTCATTGGTAGTTCTTGTATGTGCCTTGACCTGTGATCAAACTTGAAAGCTTGATGTATTGGATGACGCTCTAACCAACTAGCTCCCCAGCTATGCATCCAGGGCCTGAGAACTTTCTTAATTCTAGCATATGAAAGCACAGGCATGTTAACAGTCTTATTGGTGATTCCTTTCATTTATGAAAAGTCTCGAACCAAGAATTTTGACCCTATTGAAAACCTCACAAGCTTGGGCAAAGTTCAGTATAAAATGTAATTGTAGTAAAAATGCCATGTATTTTATTTCTAGCTTTCAAAATGTATTTATATAGCTCCATTTCTTTTAAACATAATGCTGGAGTGGGATGGCAGGTAGTATTACTCCTTTTACAAGTAAAGAAATGGAGTCTTGACTTCATAATAGGAACTTGGTGAGCTACTGAACAGGTAGTAGTTACTCCTGTATGCTCCACTATAACTCCACTGAAATAAATCTGTCTTGGCAATTAACATAATACAGCTTCTCCATTTGTTTGTTTCTGCTTGACCGGAAGTTTCTTTGAGGGTAGAGACTTCATATTTGTTTTGTCTCAGTGGCCTACAGAGAACCTGATTTTTTCATAAGTGTTGAAGTGGGTAAATGCATCACCATAAGGTTCTATTTGAGATAAAAATGCATTACTTGTTTACATTAGCTACCAAATTATTTGTGCATTATTATTCTTCTGAAAAGGGTGACTTTAGAATCCCTTTCTTTGTGCTGGAGAAAGTTCTGGAAACCTCAGGTTATTGAAACGGTCCTTTAATAAGTATTTGACAGAATAGTCATGGGGGTGTCACACACAGCTTAGGGAATATAGTCAATAATCCTATCTAATAATAGACAAAGATTCAAATTGACCGTACCTTCGCTATGCCCACCATTGGCTAATCAGAGTGATATGCAAATTAACCACCAACAAAGATCGCGGTTAATTTGCACATGTAGGTGTGAAGCGGCAGAGCAAAGACTGAAGGTGGCTCCGGCCAGAGCAGCGAAGGACTTGAAGGTGGCTCCGGCCGGAGCAGCGAAGGCTTGAAGGCGACTCCAGCAGGAACGAAGGCCTGGGTACCGGGTGCCAGAGGAAAACCAGTGCCGGCAGCCAGGGGAAGGGAAGGCCTATTGCACGAATCTTTTCGTGCAAAAGGCCTCTAGTATTATAATAACTTTATATGGTGTCAGATGGGTACTAAATTTATTGGAGTGATCACTTGTAAGTTATATAAATGTCTAATCATGGGGTTGTAAACCGGCAATTACCATTTAAAAATAAAAAGTACTTTAAAAAGTAAACATTTGACTACGTATTTTCAAGGCATTGGGCAGGATGCAAAGGTGAACGGCCCTTTTGGTTAAGAATGATAAGGTCTCATTTGACTTTAAAATGGAGCACTGCAATGAGATCACAACTATAATTTAAAACAGTGTTTCATTCACATTTTAAAGAGAGGAGCTTACAGAAACCTTCAGAATTTTTAGTTTTTTTATTCAGTATGTAGATTTCAAATGAACTTGTGAAATTCTGTAAAAATGTATCATGAACACATTAATTTTTCCTTATTTTCTTGTATCTAAGAAGACTATAAATTTCTAATAGCTATGTTGAGCTATAGTTGCTGTACATTAAACTGCACATCTGTACAGTTCGATAAGTCATAGCATATGTGCACTATAATCAAGCGAATGAGCATATCCATCACTCCCAACAGTTCTTGGGGCAGCTCTGTGTCTTTCCCTCCACTTTTCCCTGCTCACGCCCTGTATTCACCCAGGCAACTACTGATTACATTTCTATAACATTTTAGAAAATGCAATGTCATATTGTGACAGAAAGCATAGTCTACTCGTTTTCATCACTGACATGAGGGAGAGAAACTGCCAAAGCATTCCATTTCTTTACCTTTCCTGGGTTACCAGTGGCAGTGCATAGTAGGTACACTTCGTATAAATAAGCTACCAGGGTTCTTTACTAAAATTTTGAGAAGGCAGTGGGGGCCTTTTGTTACTCTACAAAGAAAATAATAAATGACTGGCTACTTGTCCTTGTATCTCCTCAGATGTTGTATGATTCCAATAAACCTGATTTCGCTCCATTTGTAGATTGGGCTTTCTCAATACAGTTGTGCTTTTCTTGAACTGGATTTTTTATATTTCTCCTTTTAACAAATGTCTGATAGTACTTCTGAAAGGAACCTTTCTGCTTACATAGAAATATTATGAGTATTTAAGGTATTAAATAATTATTTTTGGTAGGGATTAGAGTTCCTGATAAATGACTTCCGTACCTTCTCATTATGGTGGTTTTTGTTTTTGTTGATTTTTCTCCTTGAGCTCACCCTCATAATCACTGTGTAGGAGGGTATTAGTATAAAATAATGAGTTGAAATTATTTAATCTTAAGATGGGATTTTAAAATGATGTAGGGTTTTTTAGTGTTTTAGTTTATTTGATGTTGCTGCATGGTTGTTACCCTGAGTAATTGAAACCTGACTTTACTAAGGATAAAGGTGTCCTCTTGAGAAATGAGTGTCATTTTGAAACAGACACTAAGCTAAACAAAACTCAGTTTGGTGGATGTCCATATGCTTTCTGGAAACTTCTCTGAAATTATCATTTTTAAAACGATGGAAATGTATGTACTCAAGTTTGATACTGTAATTTAAAATATCTAGTTTTGTAAGTATTCATTATTCCAAATCCCATCCTTCTAGTAATTGAAATACCTATAGAATGAAGAGAAAAAAAGCTCTACCTTTTTTTTAAACATAATTCCTTTAGAGCTGAAATATTCTTAGAGCTACATCTATATTTTCAAGCATGTCAACTTTATATAGAGGGAAACATAAAAGAGTTTTTATATACTTTTCCTTTTAAATAGATGAAGAACTTCCTGATTACATTATGGTGATGGTGGCCAACAAGAAAAGTCAGGACCAAATGACAGAGGACCTGTCCCTGTTTCTAGGGAACAACACAATTCGATTCACCGTATGGTATGTTTCTGAACACTTACCCCTTAGACCAGTGGTTCTCAACCTTCCTAATGCCGCGACCCTTTAATACAGTTCCTCATGTTGTGGTGACCCCCAACCATAAAATTATTTTCGTTGCTACTTCATAACTGTAATTTTGCTACTGTTATGAATTGTAATGTAAATATCTGATATGCAGGATGTATTTGCATTGTTACAAATTGAACATAGTTAAAGCAGAGTGATTAGTCACAAAAACAATCTGTAATTATATGTGTTTTCCGATGGTCTTAGGCGACCCCTGTGAAAGGGTCGTTCGACCCCCAAAGGGGTTGCGACCCACTGGTTGAGAACTGCTGCCTTAGACCAGAGTTTAGCACAAGCCAGAGTAGGTATTCTCTCTGAAAAGAGGCTCCCGACAGGAGAGTCAGGTTCAGTGTGGAGAGGCAGGTTGTGAGCAATGAGCACAGCCGCCGGAGCCAGTTGCCAAGGTTGAATCCTGATCTGCCTCTTGCCTTGGTTTCTCCATTTGTAAAATGTGAATAGTAAATCACCTTTATAGGATCCTTGTGAAAGGGTTAAGTGAGCTAACACATGTAATGTGCTCACAACTGTATTTAGCCCATGGAAGTACTTAGTATATGTTAACTGTAGTTACTGTGTTTCTCTTGTAAATGTCTACATCTTACTCCTTTCCTCTAGCCTAAACCAGCGGCAGGTGTCCTTTTGGACTGGGTTGACTTCCTAAATTGCTTTCTCTGAGTTAATTCTGAGGGGGCAAGGATTTTGACAGAATTTCAAATTAATTTTTTAAAAGTTTAGAACTTTTTGAAGTTTGGAATTTTGAGATAGGCAACTTGATGTTCAAATATAAGTCAATATAATGTTCATTGTCCTTTTTTCAAACCACATAGGCATTTAGTTAAAACTACTGACTAGAAGCGCAAGATTAAATTTTAAGAAGTCAGATCAGGTTCTGGTACTGGGTTTGAGGTAAACTGAGAGTGGTGATGTGGATGAGAATAGAGCAGGAAGCACTCATAAGGCTCCTCACACTGGAGACCACCAGTTACAGCACAGTGGATGATGGAGCAGAAAGCGAGTGAGGAGAATGCCCTGTGTAATTTGGATGGCAAGAGACTGGGACAGGGAATACTCCTAAGTATAATACTAAGGAGGAATAGGAAGAAGCTGGTTCACTTTCTGCCTTTAAACCAAAAGTTTGCCTTGAAGGTGATTTTGCCCCAGCAGGTAAATGAATGCTTTACAACTCTTTTGAAGCTTTCTTGAAATTCCACACAGAATTCTCTAGTTTGTATTACAGTTTGGAAGAACGTGGAGTACAGTGGTTGATCCTCAAATGTTTTGGTACATAGTGTGTGTGACCTAACCCACTTGTTTACAGTTTGTCCCCAAAATGTACCCTCTCTACCTCCCAAAAAATATCAACGTGTTTTGCCTGGGGAAATTACCATTATCATGAGTGCTTTTTTTAAAGTCTTCAGCAGTCCAGGTATTTGTTTCATGTACATTTTTATGACCTGACTTCTGGTTTAACTTTTGGATCACTTTAGTTTTGAGTCCCTCAAAATTAATATTGGAGATTGACCTAGTGGATTATTTCTCAGATAACTTGATGGAATGTGTTAAGACATATTTCTTACTGCTAATAAACATACTGCTAATTGAATTTGAATTTAAAATCAAATTAATTCACCTTTTTCACCTTGCCGTAAGTTCAGTTCTTTAACATGTACTGACGCAAGTGATAGTGTTTATCATTCGGCACTTTGCTTTCCTAAGTTAAATGTTCATTGACAGAGGTCCCAAATTATTCTTTGGAGCCCTGCAGTAGTTGTTTCCTAGGCAACAGTGGCATATGACTGGGTTCTGGGTGAAACATACTGAGCTATTTCTGGTGTTTCAGGAGGCATGGCCTCTTAGAAGGATTGTAAGGCCAATTTGCCATGTACATAACTACTGAAATAAAATAGGTTATATTATAAGCAGGGTTATGGTCTGTGCATGTTTACAGCATTCATTTTGTAAATAACATCAGTGAAATGTGATAGTATATTTTGAGATTAAGTTTTCTTACCTCAGAATTAAGGTTTTTTTCCCCAGAAACCATATGAGTAGATAAAACTAATTTAAATAATGCCTCAACAATTGTAATAGTAAGCTGTAGTACATGTGTGTGATATTTTATCTTTTACCGTCAGTTACCTTGCATCTTTGGTCCTTAGGAAACAAAATGCATCCTTTTAGATAAGACTGTGTGCTCAGATTATATTCTGGCACTTATTTTTGCAGAGGTTAGATGTTGAAATAGTGATGAAAAAATGATTTTTTGATTGGCTCTTGTAGTATTCATGTAAAGCCTTTTTAAAGTGAAGCTTAATACCATTTATCTATTAAATACCATTTAATATCATTTATTAATATTTATCTGAAGATTGATTCCACAGTGTCATCAAATTTAGAGTGGCAGTTGAAATAAAATCTTTCTTGATTAAAGGAAGCTTTAAATTTTTTTGTTTTTTCTTTTAGGCTTCATGGTGTATTAGATAAACTTCGTTCTGTTACAACAGGTAAGATTCATAAAAAAGGGCTTTTTGGGGAATTTGCTATAGCATACGATTGCTTTCTTTCTAAGGGAAAGAACACATAAATTTGGCAACATTCATTTGAACATTTTTAGGAAGCATTTATTGTTACGAATTTAAGAGCAAGACATTTAATATAATTCAAAGATAATTTAAATAAGGGAAGGGAACTATGCAATTTATCCTAAGGAAGTAATTATAGAAGTGTGCAACAGTTCAGTTTCAAGAATGTTTCAGTATTTTATAATTGAAAATTACTTAAAAGTTCAGTACATAGTAGTAAATTATGTATGGAATAATATTGAGCCATTAAAAATGTTGTGAAGATGTATAACTTTTAAATTGGTGATGAACAAGGGGAAGGATCAAAGTAATAGAATAGTGTAAAAGGATTATGTTTTTCTTTCCAGACCCCTCTAGTCTAAAGTCTTCTGATACCAACATATTCGATAGTAATGTGCCTTCCAACAAGAGCAGCTTCAGTAGGGGCGATGAGAGAAGGCACGAAGCTGCAGTGCCACCCCTTGCAGTTTCTAGCACTAGAGCTGAGAAAAGAGATTCCAGAGTTTCTTCAAGTTCACAGGAGCAGAAAGCCACTAATGCCAGGTAAGAGTTCTGTGTAGATCACCTGTGAACAGATGGGGGTATATGTGACATTTACATTTGTTTTCATATCTTTGAATTGCTTTTTTCAGAAAATTTTGGAAATAGTGAGGTAGGTGGTTATGAGCAATTTTTTAAATAAAATAAAGAGTGGATAAAAAAGTATGATTATCTTAAATATAGTAAAGTTTAAAACAAAAAAAAAACATTTCAAAGTAGTTTCTAATGGACTACATAAAGGGAATATTCATTCTTTTTCATTACAATTTAAGTAAATATTCTTTGACTATTTGAACATATTCCTCTAAATTGGTTGTAATATGTTTGAGTATGTGTTTAATAGGCAGAGTTATGATGATGGAGCTGCAACCCGATTAATGTCAACAGTGAAACCTCTGAGGGAGCCAGCACCCTCTGAAGATGTGATTGATATTAAGCCGGAACCAGATGACCTCATTGATGAAGACCTCAATTTTGTGCAGGAGAATCCCTTATCTCAGAAAAAACCCACAGTGACACTCACATATGGCTCTTCTCGCCCTTCTATTGAAATTTATCGACCACCTGCAAGTCGAACTGCAGATGGTGGTGTTCATTTAAACAGGTTGCAGTTTCAACAGCAGCAAAACAGTATTCATGCTGCCAAGCAGCTTGATATACAGAACAGCCGGGTATATGAAACGGGACGTTTGTGTGAGCCAGACATGCTTAACAGCTTAGAAGAGACTTACAGTCCTTTTTTCAGAAACAACGCAGAGAAAATGAGTATTGAGGTTTGTATGTACTTGTGAATCTTGCCTTGTTAGGCTGAAAATTGGCAGTTCTTTATACTAAATAGTATGTGAAATAACTAAATACATACATATTGCATGTTTATTTTAAACTGATTTCTGTGTGCTCAACATAGTATACCAATCAGATTTTCCTCTCCATGACTGACTTCTACAAGTGTATATTACACCTTGTTTACTTTCCTGGGATGCCAACATGTGAGATAGTTTTAACAATACCTTATAGTTTTGGTGGGATTTTAGGTCAATTTTAAATTTTTCATGTCATTTACTGGAAAAGAAGTAACCATTTTGTTAGTTTTCTCAACAGTGCTATTTGCTGCTGCATATAAATGAATGTAAAGCACTAGTTTTTGTTTTTGTTAAAGGTTGGCTATTAGGGATAATATTCATATTTTTATAAGAAACCGGAAATAGCCCATAAATTATTAACATAATTGGCTTTTTCTTAAAGAGAAAAAATTCTGTGGTAGGACTTTGTTATTTTCTGAGACTAGGTAAGCATGAATTTATCTGATTACAGGAAGAAAACTTTCGGAAGAGAAAGTTGCCTGTGGTAAGTTCAGTTGTTAAAGTAAAAAAGTTTAATCACGATGGAGAAGAGGAGGAGGAAGATGATGATTGTGGGTCCCGCACAGGAAGCATCTCCAGCAGTGTGTCAGTGCCTGCAAAGCCCGAAAGGAGGTACTGGAACATGTCTGTAACTTAATCTTGAATTGCTTGGTGGTGCCCTCTGTGTTTCTTGAAGAGGATATAAAAATAAAAATTTATTGGCATATAAGACTTTTCCATTGGTTTTTGAATAAACCATATTAATGAAAGAAAAACTGCTTAAAATTGGAGAAATTGCTGAGAATATTAAAAACTAATGTGGGTGGGAAGTTGATCAGATTCATTATTTTAAAAAGTTATAAGGTTTCAGTCTACTTGGCATTTCCTAGAAACTACGGCTAGTCTGTTCAAACCCAAGAGAAGGTCCTGGGCCGGTGGCTCAGTTGGGTGAATTGTCCTGTACACTAAAAAGGTTATGGCTTTGATTACTAGTCAGGACATGTGTCTAGGTTGTGCGTTCGATCTCCAGTTAGGGTGCATGCGGGAGGCAACAGATTGATATTTCTCTCCCCCCACCCTCCATCCCTTCCTCTCTAAAATCAGTAAAAATATATCCTCAGGTGAGGATGTAAACAAACACAAAAAACTTAAGGCTGTAGTAAAGGCATAGTGGCTAGCACGTAAAGAATTCAAATCTGTAATTAAAATGTTTTCTTTTTTAGACCCTCACTTCCTCCTTCTAAACAAGCTAATAAGAATCTAATTTTGAAGGCTATATCTGAAGCTCAAGAATCTGTAACAAAAACAACTAACTATTCTACAGGTAATTTAAATGAATTATATTTTCATTAAGTAAGAGATTTCTATAACTCTTGAGTAAGCTAGAAATGATGATCTCCAAGTTGTGGTGAAATAAAGAACCCTACCCAATGTCAAGACCAAGGTGCGGTTCAGAAGAATGGATTTAAAAGGACATTAGGCCAGTTTGAGAAACTTTCCCAACTGTCAGTGGAATTTATTTCTTTGAGCAACTGTCATGTCTTTACTCCCTCTTTCCAGTGTGTGTGGAATAGATAATAAATATAAATTATTACATGTTTTGAAGCAATGAGATGAGTCAGCTATATCTGATCATACAAAAAGCTCATTCTGAAATGCAAACCATATATGGATGTCATGTCATTAAATTCTGTACTCTGTGCCCCACATGCTAGAGTTGGGTGTGAAATTTCATAAGTTGTAATGAATACTCACTTTAAATTTTATTTTATTTTTGCTGCCTATTTGATGATTATTCTTTTAGAGCTGTTCTGCTTTTTCATATTTCTTTTTGCTACCCCTTCCTAGAGTGAAGGAAACTATAAGCTTACTTTTGATTCTGATAGTCATCTGTCTCCCTGCATCTTTTCTTTTAACCTCTAAACATGAAATTGAACAGGTTTTGGCATATAGGATAAGGATTCTCAGGCAAACTGAACAATTCTTTTATTTATACGCCCATTTTGTCAAATAGTGTTTAAAATGATGAGTGTAGAATTGTACTCATTTGTGAACTTGAAATTTTTTTGCTTTTATAATAGTTGGATATTGCCCAAGTTTTGTTTTGTTTTTTGTTTTTTCTTGAGAAATAGCATTGAAATTCTTTCTTTACCTACTTTATCTAAATTACAATTTGAGGTTGTTAATGGGATCACAAAGTAGAACAGTGATGGCGAATCTATGACACGCGTGTCAGACGTGACATGTGAACTCATTTTTTTGGTTGATTTTTCTTTGTTAAATGGCATTTAAATATATAAAGTAAATATCAAAAATATAAATCTTTGTTTTACTATGGTTGCAAATATCAAAAAATTTCTGTATGTGACACGACACAAGAGGTACGTTAGGGTTTTTCAAAATGCTGACACACCGAGCTCAAAAGGTTCGCCATCACTGAAGTAGAACCTAAATTCCATTTGGTTGAAATGAATATATATGTGCTTCAGTGTATATATGGCATGTGGTTTAACCCCTAGAGTGCTGGGGAGCGCAATTGCGCTCCTCCTGTCTTTCGCCAAAAGTGCCGGGATCGCTATCAAAGCTTTGAAATGACGTCCAGTTCTAAGTCTGCTCATATTAGTGATGATGATATTGCTAAATATGTCAATGTAGTAAAGGTTTCCTTAAGTTTTTGAACATGTAACTTCATTTACTTGTGATGCATTTTTTTTTCCTAAACTGCTGTAAAATCAGCAAAAATGCCTTGGCAATTTTAGCATAGTTCCTAGGATATTGGTTGGCAAAATGGTTAAAATGTGTAGATGCTGTTTATACACATAGAGGTATTTAAGTCAGGTTATCTATCCCTTGAGAATATTTAAGAAAAAATGAGGTGATATCTATGAACTGTTTAAAACTCCTCATGTTCTAAAGTAAAGGAGGCATTTATGTTTAATATGACTGTTGAGTTTGATGTATTACTACATTTGCATTTCCATCTTTTTTGCTTTTTATATAAAAGTCTCGCAGAAACAGACACTTCCAGTTGCTCCCAGAACTCGAACTTCTCAAGAAGAATTGCTGGCAGAAATGGTCCAGGGGCAAAGCAGGACCTCTAAAATAAGTCCCCCCCTTAAAGAAGATGAAGCAAAAGGAGATAATGTAGAGAAAGGTCAAGGTAATAATTTAAACGATATTTCATCCTCTATTACACTTTTTTCATGAGGCATTAAATATTTTCCAGTGGGTGTTTATGAAATGTTATATTATGAGAAAAGTGCTCACTAGCCCAAAAACAGAATAAGAAGGGACCATGAGGAATCTATATTTACATATTTCAGAGTTTTAAAAACCTTTTTATCAGGGAAATTTTTAATGTTCTCAAAGGGGAAAGAATAGTGCAATGAATTTCCATAAACTTAGTCATCCACCTTTAGTATTATCAATATTTTGCTGGTCTTTAGAATGTGCCAATTTAAAGATACATAGATATCTACATTAAAGCTTTCCTTCTTTTTGTTAATTCTACTCCTGTTCTCTTGAGTTTGAAATCTTATCTTTAAAATCTCCCTTTTCTGAGCATCCTCTCTGTCTCTGACCTGCTAGATGCCTTATGTCTTAGTGGCCCTATTTTATCCCCTTGTGCCTGACAAACTACAGTTAGCTTCCAGCTGATCTTTCTGTTTCCTTTCTCTTAGCTCCCATCCCCGACTCCTGCACTAACTCTCCATCTAAAGTATGACTTAATGTGACTTCTTTGTCAGAGCATTTATACTGTGTGAGTCCCGCACACATGCCTCCCAGGGCATGGCCCAGGACTGATGCCATCAACTTGGCCTTTCGACAGCTTCCTTGTCTGGCCCCTGGGTCTGCCCAGCCCTTCCCCCACTGCTTTCCACTGTTTCTTCTGTCCCCATTAGGAAATATTCTAGTTTCTTCTGTGATTTGAATTTTAAAATCCCACTAAAACTATATGCTCATCATGTTTCTAACTTAACTTACACTTTGCTAAGACTGGAATATGTTTATTATTCCTCTTCAGCTGTATCCTTTAAGTAGTTCCAGGTTCATTTCAGATTTACTTGTTTCATGAAGCTTTATGAGTTTATCCTATATTTGTTTCTTTGTTCTCTCTTTAAAAAAAAATCTTTGTATTGTACAATTTTCCACGTCAAAGTTATTTACAGTTCCAATAAGTGATGGACCTGAGCACAGGAAAACCCCAAGCCAGCCAGTAGGTAGTAACTGGGAAGTGTGAGTGGGCCAGTTTGTGAAGAGCAACTGGGTTTGAGCTTCAGTAGAAATAGGAAAGGCAGTAGATTGAATGAAGCCCACGATTTCATGATGATACTTTTAACTTTTTTTTACAATGATTATTTTAAGAAGCAGATCCTAATTCAGTGATGGCGAACCTATGACACGCGTGTTAGAGGTGACACGTGAACTCATTTTTTTGGTTGATTTTTCTTGGTTAAATGGCATTTAAATATATAAAATAAGTATCCAAAATATAAATTTTTGTTTTACTATGGTTGCAAATATCAAAAAATTTCTATATGTGACATGGCACCAGAGTTAAGTTAGGGTTTTTTAAAATGCTGACAAGCTGAGCTCAAAAGGTTCGCCATTGCTGCCCTAATTGATCACTTTCTGGAAAATAATAGATTCTAAACCAAATAAATAATTGAGCATTTCTACTGTCTTTCCTTTAAGAATGGTGCCACTGGGTAGCAAAGTGGTATAGGAGTTAGCTCATATTTTTGTAATAAGGTTTTCTTGGAACCACCATGCTTATTCATTTATATATTGTTTCTGGCTGCTTTTGTTCTATAACCATAGAGTTGAATAGTTGCAACAGACCATGTAACCCACATAACCTAAAATAGAAGAAGTTTGACAACCCTTCATATAGATGACGGAAGCATCTTATGAAATCATTCTAGCTAATAAAGTGAAAACCAGCCATTTTGTACCTCCTGATGAGAGAATAAAATTCTACCTTCATCTTGCAGAGTGATCAAGTCTCTGATCAACAGTCAGTTTGACGGAAGTGCAGAGGCCAAAGCATGTTGGCTGAGCTACCCCATGTGTGTATAGCAGGCAAAGTATAGTTTCTGGGAGTTATATAGGTCAAAAAGCCAAGAATTCTAGATTAAAAGTCTTAAAAGACAAAATAAAGGTGGCAAAGTTAAGCTTTAGTGCAGTGGTTCTCAACCTTCTGGCCCTTTAAATACAGTTCCTCATGTTGTGACCCAACCATAAAATTACTTTCGTTGCTACTTCATAACTGTAATGTTGCTACTGTTATGAATCGTAATGTAGATGTCTGATATGCAGGATGGTCTTAGGCGACCCCTGTGAAAGGGTCGTTTGACCGCCAAAGGGGTCGTGACCCACAGGTTGAGTACCCGCTGCTCTAGTGTCTAGACCAGCCGTGGGCAAACTACGGCCCGGATCCGGCCCGTTTGAAATGAATAAAACTAAAAAAAAAAAGACCGTACCCTTTTATGTAATGATGTTTACTTTGAATTTATATTAGGTCACACAAACATTCCATCCATGCTTTTGTTCCGGCCCTCCGGTCCAGTTTAAGAACCCATTGTGGCCCTCGAGTCAAAACGTTTGCCCACCCCTGCTCTAGAGCTTGTGTGATAAAACCATAAACAAAACAGTATTACTATGAAAGGCAATAGTGATTACTTTTGGAGAGGACTTACTAGGATGGAGCTTGTAAGGGGGCTTCTGGGGTGGCTGACATAGCTACTTCCTTGACCTAGAAGACAGTTGTAAGGATGTCTTTGCCTTATGAAAATTATTGAGCTGTTACTTGTTTTGTGTGGTTTTCTATATCATTGTTTTGTTTTAAAGTGAGACAATAGAAGTGATATCAAGGACCTCTACTGATGGAGGACTATTACTACTCTTACTAGATTCTTACTGTGCTTTTTTTAAAAAAAATATATTTTATTGATTTTTTACAGAGAGGAAGGGAGAGAGATAGAGAGTTAGAAACATCGATGAGAGAGAAACATCGATCAGCTGCCTCCCGCACATCTCCTACTGGGGATGTGCCCGCAACCTAGGTACATGCCCTTGACCGGAATCAAACCTGGGACCTTTCAGTCCTCAGGCCGACGCTCTATCCACTGAGCCAAACCGGTTTCGGCTACTGTGCATTTTTAAGCATGTGCAGCAAAAATTCACTCTTTTTGGGCAACTGATCCTGTGTCTAGTCCCACTGTTTGGCTTGGGTATACCCTACCAGCTCCACCAGTGTAACAACAGAATGGCACACATTGCTTCTGTGAAGTGACAGCCTTCAGGTACATGGTGGCTTTTCGGCTATGCATACTCTTGATGGGTTTCATGAGTGTTCTTCAAATGAAATGAAGATTTGAACCTCTTGATTTGCACGAGTTTGTGAGATTTTCTGGTCAAGTGAATAGTGAGCAATTTTCAGAGGTCACTTCAGGATGCTTTTATTAGAATTATTGATGTAGTTGGACTAGTTTCTATCATTTTATTTGTATTTGCTTGCTTTTGTTTTTCCTCGTCTTTTTCTTTTATTCATTAATTACTGTTATTGTTGATTATCCAGCTCTACTCCCCCCCCCCCACTAATTTAAATTTAAACATTCCATTTCTGTTCTTTTAGTGGTGAATTTTATCAAGCAAGTTTAATTGAATATTCCAAAAGTTAATATTCTGACCTATTCTCAAATAAACGAACTTTAGTATACGTTGGCACTAGTCTTTACCCTCCTGACTTATGTTATGTTTGGTCTTTTTAAAAATGCATAAATTGAGCACCATTATCTTATTTTACCCAGGCAATATTTGCTTAGATATACCAATGTTTATCATTTTTAATTTTCATATCTCTTGAATGTTATTTGGGGATCATTTTCTAATTTTTTGAAGTATATTCTTTGGAAGTTTCTTTAGAATAGGTCTATTGGTGGTAAATTTCCCAAGAGCCTGTTTACCTATAAACATTTTTTTTCTCTTTGTTCTTAGGCAGTAGTTTTGCTGGATACCCATATCTAGGTTAATAATAGTCATTTGCTCTTAGCACCTTGTATATCTTATTCCACTGTCTTCTGGCTTCCATTGTTGTTGAGTGGACATCTGTTATTCTAATTGTCTGTTGTTCCTTTGTAGGTGATCTGTCCTTTCTCTGGCTGCTTTCAAGATCTCTTTGTCTTTGATGTTCTACAGTTTCACTACGATGTGTCTAGGCGTGGGTTTCCTTTTATTTTTCCTATTTGGTATATGTTGTATAAAAATATTTAAAATAAAATATTTCACATTATCAAATAAATGTTCATCACAGAAAATTTAGTAAAACAAAACAAATCATTGTAATACCTGCTGATAAATTAGAAAATAATGAAGTTGTATAGAGAAATTTAAAATAAAAAAACAACATTCCTGCCTTGGCCGATGTTGCTCAGGGGTGGAGTATTGGCCCACAGATCAAAGGATCTTGAGTTCGATTCCCAGTCAGGGGCATGTACCTGGGCTGCAGATTTGTTCCCTGGTCCCAGTTGGGGTACGTGTGAGAGGCAATCAGTTGATGTGTCTCTTACATCTCTGTTTCTCTCTCTCCCTCCACCCCCTCTTTCTCTTTCCCCATCCCTCCCTCCTTCCCACTCTCTCTAAAAAATGTTAAAAAAAAAAATATATATATATGTAAAAAATATCCTTCGATGAGGATTAACAAAAGCAAAAAAGGGCAACGTTTCTTTTTCATTCTTCTCCACGCTGATCCTCCCTAGAGGCCACTGCTTTTGAATGACTGTTTTATGACTTTAATTTTCTCCATGTTTGTAATAATTTGCTTATACCAGTTCCTTAATTCACCAACTATAAGGTGGTATCTTTTGATTTCTTTGTATATCAGGATCTAACTCACTTCCCTCTCTCTAAGCCCATACAGTAAAATCACTATTTTTAGTTATTTACTGGTTACTTTTGTAATGTTAGGAAGTATAACTAAATATCTGTATTTTGTCTGATTAACTATATTTCAGTATGTTTTGACTCCCCAATTCCAGTACATTTTGACTCCTAAGAAATAAGGATATTTATGTTCTTTAATTCTTATATACTTTTTCTCCCATCTTTTAAACTTTCTCATCTCACAATTGCATTTACATTTTTTTCTGTTTCCTATGT